ATATCATCAATCAGTGATTACTTATGACATGACAGGAGGATGACAGATTAGTTATACACTACAGGCCAAAAGTTTGGAAGCAAGATCAGATTCGTAGAAAAAAAGATCATAGTTTCATATTGCAACACAGTATCATAATTTGCAACACAATAAACATGACTATTGTGTAAAGAGTAGCTAATCAGAAGACATTTTGACTATAATTATTAGGTATTTGAGTTGTTGTTGCTTAGACTTTGCTCCCTTTAAAGTAACCTCCTCTGGCTTTAACAACAGCTTGGCATATACCAGGCATTCATTCCACAAGTTTTTTAAGGTATGTTCCAGGGATTGCATTCCAAGCTTTCTTAAGTTCATTAAAAAGAGACTGCTGATTCGTGGGACGCGCTTTTCTGACCGATCGATCCAATTAATTCCACAGAAGCTCGATCGGAGAAAGGTCTGGAGACTGAGGGGGCCAAACCATCTTTTGAAGAACAACCTCCTCTTCTTTTTTGTCTAGGTAACCCTGACAGAGCTTGGCAGAGCGCTTAGGGTCATTGTCTTGCTGCAAAAGAAACTTATGAGCCACAAGTCTGAGTCCAGATGGAACAGCATGGTGCTGGAGGATGGAGTGGTACTGTTCCTTCTTCATGATACCCTTTACTTCAAACAAATCTCCTACTCTATCACCTGCAAAACATCCCCATACCATGGAACTACCACCTCCATGCTGAATTGTGGGTGTAACACATGGTGCTTTCAGATGTTCACCAGTTTGTCTGCAGACATAGACTCTGCGTTTTGAACCAAACAATGCAAACTTGTTTCTAGCCATCATAAGTCAAGTTTTTGTGAGCTTTTGCCCACTCATATCTCCTTTTCTTGTTCTGTGGGCGAAGTAGTGTTTTTTTGCAGATACACAACCCTTCAGACCAGCCTTTCTCAAACGTCATTTCACGGTTGTCAGAGATATGGGTTCCAACCTTGTCATGTTGATTTTCTCCCTTATTTTTGGTGCTGTCTTTTGCCGATCTCTCTTACTGGTGACAATGCTGTGTTTATCCTCTGCTTTTGTAGAAACTCTCTTTCCTCCAAGGGGGTATTCCACAAAGCTGGCTTAGCTCAAAGCTTGGCTTATTTCGGTTAGCTTGGCTAATTTTAGTGAGAGTTCGGTTCCACAAATGAGGCTTAGGTCTAGCGTGGCTTGGTAACCATGGTAACTCAGCCAGTGTGACAAGCCTGGTCCCAGGCCGGCTTACGGTCAAGCTAACCTTAGCTGTGTCTCAGAGAAGCTCCGACAGGCTTCCAGAAGACGCTTTGTGAACCGCATGTCACACAGTAATTTCATCTTTATCTGTAATAAACGATGCTCTTGTTCGGAAAAATAAATTGAGAGCCTTTTTAAAACAACATAGGAATACGTGAATCCGGACATGCACAATACTACACCAACCTCAAAGAGAAAGAGAAATATTCAGTAGCTGAGTGGGTAAAGAGAAGTGCTGGTAAAATGTGTTTTTCACTGCTCTGTGGGTTCGATCCCGTCAGCTGTAATTATTTGGAAATATCTGATTTTCTTTCTTTTCTTTCTCTCAATGTACTGTCAACACATAACAGAATAAAGGCACGAACGATCTCATCCAAAACACTGAAGACGACAACAGCAACAATTTCCCATTAAAAAAACCTTCCTTTCACCAGTGGTCCATTCTGATTATGATGATGATAATATAAAGGTGATGGCAAATGACGACATGACTACTCTGTGTACAAGCTCATTTGTGTCTTCTCCCTTATTTAACCCTGCTACCTTATTAACACAGAATCCCTAATCTTGCATTAGTGGCAAGGAACTGCCACTGTCACTTAGTGGCCTATAAAATCATCTATAAATGAAAAGTTTCCCTTTTTTTTCATGGCTGTCATCATTGACTTCTGCTCTAACCACTCATAAGAAAAAATCACCTAGCTTCAAACTTTTAACCCTTTTAATTTTAGTGTAAACACATTGTAAAAAATGCCCAAATTTAAAAAAAAAGGGCTAAAAATAATAAGAGTAATGCAAAATCAAATTTCTTTGTGCAAGATTATCAGAACCTATGAGTGGTATGAGTATGTGTAAAATTAGTTTTAGTTGCAGTTTCAGTTTTTGCGTGACAGCGTAAAATAAAAAAAAACGACTAATCTTGCATTAGTGGCATGGAACTGCCACTGTCACTTAGTGGCCTATAAAATCATCTACAAATGAAAAGTTGCCCTTTTTTTATTATGGCTGTCATCATTGACTTCTGCTCTAACCACTCAAAATAAAAAATCACCCACTTTCAAACTTTTAACCTTTTTAACTTTAGTGTAAACACACTGTAAAAAATGCCCAAAATTTAAAAAAAGGGCTAAAAATTATAAGAGTAATGCAAAATCAAATTTCTTTGTGCAAGATTATCAGAACCTATGAGTGGTATGAGTATGTGTGAAATTAGTTTTAGTTGCAGTTTCAGTTTTTGCGTGACAGCCTAAAATAAAAAAAAACGACTAATCTTGCATTAGTGGCACGGAACTGCCACTGTCTTTGTGGCCTATAAAGTCATCTACAAATGAAAAGTTGCCCTTTTTTTATCATGGCTGTCATCATTGACTTCTGCTCTAACCACTCAAAAGAAAAAATCAACTATTTTCAAACTTTTAATCCTTTTAATTTTAGTTTGAAACATGTATGTGCGTGTGTGGGTGTGCCTTCGTGCGTGCGCGCGCGCGCGTGTACCTGCGAGCGAGTGTGTGTGTGTGCCGGCGTGCGAGTGTGTGTGCGTGTGTCTGTGTGTGTGTGTGTGTGTGTGTGTGTGTGTGTGTGTGTGTGTACCTCCAGATCAGGTGGCGCGGCACAGCAATTAGCCTACGAGTTACGTCGGACTGCCGGATGCAAAACCCCGTTACCCGGAAGAAGAAGAAGAGGTCGGGAGCAGAGCAGTGGATTAAAGGCCCAATTCCAAACCACCCCCTCACTGACTCATTGACTTAGGTGCGCGCTCATGTGAGCTCTGTAAGGGCTTGAGGGTTGTTCCAAATGAAATCGGTAAGTCAGCGAGGGCTCGGGAACGCCCCTTTCTGCACCCTTTCCGTAAGTCCGTACCGTTGGAGACTTTGGCTATGAAATTGCCCACAATTCATTGCGTTGTGGGCGTTACTGGAGGACGCCGACGCAGCCGGGGCCAGGATTTAAAAAGGAACGAGGGAATCGTCCGCGACAGACACCAAAAATGACGGAGATCATGGCGAAGAAGGTCAAGAAGTAGCAGTTCATTCAGGATCTAGGTGCACCCTTAATACTCTAACATGGATGTTCCGCATCGTGTATGGTGGGCGTGTGTGTGTGTGTGTGTGTGTGTGTATATATATACATACATATATACACACACACATACACACACACACGCATGCGTTATTCTTATAACAAAGAAAATTGATTTTCACTTCAAACTTTTATCTGAAGCAATACATTTTATCCTGAACTAACACTCTAAAGCAGTGATTACTTTCAGAATCTAGTGCTTCAACCTTTTAACCATTCAATATCACTTAACCTATCATTAATGCTGGTTTTCTAATTTATCAATCTAATCATTATTTATCAATTACCTGTTATCTATGTTCAAGAGCAAGTGTGTGCAAAAGGAGCGGAACAATGTTGGCCTTTCTTCTGCGACGTCGCTGGCCGCGAAATAAATGCAGAATTAAGAGGCCCAGAGAGGCAAGTGTCAGTCATCTTTGGTTGTCACGGCAACGTTGTCGTCTGTCGTCGAGGTAACGTGGCACGTCACAAAGGGCTGTTCCATTGCTTTTATACCCTTTTGGAGCCCTTAAACCCTCCCACACTCAAGCACTTACCAGCTGACTTAACCTAAGCTAATGAGGGTGCAGGGCTTGAGGGCTTAGGGTGGAGTTTGGAATTGGGCCAAACACTGCTCTGGTCGGGACTGACCCGCGATGGGGATGAGCTTTGTGTGTGTGTGTGTGTGTGTGTGTGTGTGTGTGTGTGTGTGTGTGTGTGTGTGTGTGTGTGTGTGTGTGTGTCCCCGCCGCGAAGCGCGTAAAATTCGCCGGCAAAACCCACCGACACCCCCGTTTTCGAGTGGTGAGGTGAGGTTACCACCTCCAGAGCAGCCAGCGGCTCCCCGCCTTTGCTGACGCGGGCCTAAGGCTATCTGATCACGGGTAACGGGGCGGCTGTACCCGGGGCAACCTCGGACGCTTGGGGCGCATGTGCCATGAACGCAATCGCTGGCTGTGACGAGCGCGCGCAAGATCATGCGCGTGCACAAACATTTGCACACGAACACACACGACCATGCACACACGGAAAACACTAACACATTAAAAAAATACATGCACACCTGATTTATTCACTTCTACAGTCCACTTTTGTTTTTTTGCAAAAAATGGCCTCTCACTGAAGGTCAATAACGGATATGAAAACAAATGAAATTTCAGCATTCATAATTTGAAAAAGTTGGATTGGAAATAGACTCAAGATAAAATGCAAAAAAATGGGGGGGAAAATCTGATTTGAACTCCTGTGGCAGTATATTACAAACAGGTAGCAGATTTTCCTTCCAAAAGACTGCATCTATCATAGGCTGTGGTTTACGGGTGTGTCAAACTGACCAAAATGGTAAAAAAAATAAAAAAACACCAGAATAACAAATTTGAGACAGATTCATGCCCAAATAAAGTGAAATGGTAAAAATAAGATTAAAAAATGCTTAATTTTATTAGTGATAAAATTATGTGCATTTTTTGATTTTTGAATATTGTAATTTTTGCCAAATTCCCATAAGGAATAATGGGGTTTTGACCACCTGGCTAGATCAGCCTCTATTATTCATGGAAAAAAAGGTGCACCTTGTGGCTGAAAGTGCACAGTGCATCTTTAATGTCTTCAGAAAAGGGGGAAAACAGTCTTTGCTGAAATTCATTTTTCCCACTGATATGGGTATATGTAAAAGACAAGTGGTTTCCCATTGGAATGCATGGGGCACTTGTGTGGCGCTAATGCAAGATTAAGCATATTTGAAGAAAAAACCATAACCATAGGGTTTTTTTTCTTCAATTTCAGGTATATCATGCCTCATCACAAAATACACATTTTCTAGGAATTTCTTTGCAAGGGCATTAATAGAAAAAAAGTTATAGCATCAAAGACAAGGCCTTACCCCTCCAGAAACCTTAATAAGGTACAAGGGTTAAATGAAGGGCACGGTGCCACCATCATCCCTAATTAAAAAGAAAGACATCTCCAGGTACATGTTTTTCTTCACTTTTTGTCTAAGTTTGCCTACTTTGGTTTTAGGTCTCACCTGTAGCTGCTATACTAATCCATTATGGATGTCTATTTGTCAAATCAAGAACATGAATTATGCCTAAAGTACAGTAGCGGTTCTAGGCACGGGCGAACCGGGCAGCCGCCCGGGGCGGCATTTGTGTCATGAGTCATGGGGGGCGGAACGAGCGCTTCCAAAAAAGAAAGAAAAAAGATAACAAATGTGCACCGCAAAGCGGTTTTGTATTAACGCTTGTCAAATTGGCGCCCCCTGCTGCTGTATGGCCCAGCCAGGCTAGCTGTACGCGCCCCTGCTTGCTGCGAAGGTGCTGCACAGAGGCTGACAGACTGTATGAGTGAGCTGCACATACATGAGATGAAAAGTTTTTAAAAAAAGTGTTTACAGTACATACGCAGAAGCGAGGAATAAAATTAGACAGCCAAGCAGGCTGACTGAATCGAGACATGCGTCGGTTGTAAAATATTTGTCCGCGGTCCACGATACTTGACCACGCCATCTCCCTGGCTATCACAATGGCAACAGTGTTACCCTTCTTCTGAATTTTTCCCTTGTACTCTCCATTCAACTCCATGAGGAGTGTTTGATCCGCCGCTGAGAAAGACTCTGCTCTGCCCTTTTTTTCCCCATGATCTCGTCATTTCGACAATCGATACGTAGGGGCTTTTTATGAACCACGGAGGCGCGCAGAGCCGTGGCTTGGATAAGCCTGGCTAGAATAACCGTCTCTGAAAAACAGCTGAGCCTCGTTAGTGGAACGAGTCGCAGCTACGATTAAAGTGGCCGCTTATTCAAGACACGCTTACCGGCGATAGCCCAGCCTTCTTTAGCCAGCCTCGTGGAATACCCCGCAGGTCTTTTTCTATCATCATAACTTCCAGGTTCCTCTAGTCTCTTCAGAGTGTAGTGGACTCCTTTGTTAAACACCTTTAGGTATTTTGCAATTTCTCTTTCTGTGTATCCTTCTTTCCTCAATGTACAAATCTGTACTTTTGTTTCTTTACTCAGTTGCGTCTTTCTAGCCATTTCTGCGGTAGTTTGAATGCAGTTGAGATTCATTAGGATTTTTGTTTGCAGACTCTCAAAAGCCAACAAGTTGAAGTGAATAATCCAACTGTGATTTTTTTTTTTTTTTTTTTGCTTTTGCACTGAAGTTGTGACTCTTGGAAATGTTTTCAACCCTAAAACTAAGCCCTTATTTTCTTTTGCTGACATACATATATTTAGCAATGGTCTGTTAACATCAACGTATATCTAAAGGTAAATGGAGTAAAATGGTGCATTTCCATGAAAGCAACATCTGATCATGGAGTGAATACATCCCAAAATACATAAAACTCATGCTGGATTTTAAAAAAAGCATTGTGAACAAAAACTTGAAGTTACTCCCAACTGTTCGGCCTTTAATGGCCTTGCTTCCAAACTTTTGGCCTGTAGTGTAGTTTGGGAAAATAAAACCTGTTATTTAAAAAAAACTGCTTATCCTGACCACCAAGCTTACCCTCTTGCATAAAACTTGGGCATTTGCGCCCTCTTGTGGGCTCCAGCAAAAACATCAAAATTTGCCTTCACAGGATCATACTTCAAAAGCTCAGAAACACATTTTTGTTTATATTAAATGTATAATCAAATAACAAATCCCAAAGTTTCACTTTTAAAATACATAATCTTTATTGTAAGGTGAGTGTTCAGTAAGATGGTTACAGCTCGGCGATGGGCTTGTGAGGCCAGTAGGGATGTTTGACCTTGTCTAACTTGGTCTCGGGGAAGGTGTCATTGAGGTCCTCAATGGTCATCTGGTCAAAGGGGATCATGTTATGGAACTTTTCCAACTGAGGACAAACAAAGATGGGAACCAAGTTATTACTACAGATTTGTCAAAGAAGCTCATGAAGTGCCAAAAAAACTAATCCAACCACTCTTTCACCTGTTTCTCATATTCAGCAATGCGAGCCTTAGATCCTTCAATATAGGCTGTTGCACTTTTGTCCTGCAAAATGAAAGCAAACTGATTACATCTGGTAATGAAAAATGAACGATGAAAATTGTATTTCTGCCACTGTGTAAAACTCAAATTGATTCAACTTGTAAAATTATAGTAACTATGGCCAAATTTGATTTTCCTCAACCTGTTCAGATTTTAAGTCAACACATTTTACACAGAACAGCTAAGTGCAGTTATAATGAGAACATGCTTCGGTTTGAAAACGATCACTTACAGCTTCCGCCTCCTGTGCATTGATGGCGCTTGTCTGTGTGTCAACAGGCTCAGGGATCTGCAGGGCTTTGAACTGTGTTTGGGGGGAACAATTTAGTCACACAAAACCAACATATGCTTCAGCGCACACACAATGATAAAATAATCAGCAAGGTGTACGACCAACAGGTTAACTGAGTGGCTATATAGAGTAACAGATATACTACGTTTCCTTCACTAGTTACCCACTATTTTTGATAAACAACTCCCTCCTCAAACTGACAGCGACAAGTAGGCCTGTCGCGATAATCAATAAATCCCCTAATCGCTCGGTAAATAAAAACGAGGTCGGTAATTTTGCCAGCCTCGATAATTGACGTGCGTTTGTTTTCCTCATCTCTTGCTACCAAACACGCTGGATGAGAGAAGACGTCTCACTCTGCGCATTTTTCTCGACACCTGGCTCTATAGCGGTATGAACGGAGTGAGTGAACCCTCCTGTCAGTCATTCAGTCTCTTTGTCACGGTGGGGTGGGGGGGGTGGGGGGAGAGAGAGCTGGCGCACACACGCACACAGACGGACACACACACACAGACTTACTGACACAGTGCGGAGCAAACGCAATGAATGATGAAACGACAGCTTCGGTGTCTAATCCCAACGCAACAGCCCCAGTGTGGGAACATTTCGGTTTCAAGTAAAATGAAAGAGGTGAGCCCACGAACACGGACGTATGTCGCATTTGTTCGAAAGTTTTGGTGACAAAGAAGGGGAATACGACGAACATGCATGCGCACCTCAAACCCAATCATCCGCGGAGATGATTATGCTTGAGGTGCGCATGCATGTTCTTTGTTGACCTGTTGAGGAATAGCACCCAAAGCTAATTATTTAGTGCAATTTTGTTTACAGACTCGAGACTCCACTTTATTTATTGTTTTAATAGTTATGTGTGGAGTGAAGTTTTTGTACCTTACCAGAGACAAGGTCTATTTTTTTATTGTTTGTAGTTGTGATTGTGGTTTTTATTTGAATGCAGTTTTTGATAAATCAGAATGTGGGTCCATTTTATTTTCATTGTTTTTTGGTTGTCTTTTTTGTTTATCATATTTGTTCATCTTATTTCAAAGTTCTTAATCTTGAGCAATTAAAGTTGATCGCTTTATTACTCGCATTATTATGCCATATATTATCATTATCTATAATTTAAAAAACGGTGTCAATAACACGTTTATCAGCAATAATTTGTAGCACAATTATCGTCCAGCAAAATTTGTTATCGTGACAGGCCTAGCGACAAGCTACTCTGCTCTCCGCTGTCCTTACATCCTTGTGAACTTGCCACTAAACTGGATCCCAAGACACGCTTTGACATATCCCGATTTGTCCCCAGAGAAATTAACACATGCCACCTATTATTCAAGTGAGATTTGCCAACAAACATTGGAAACATACAGTTGATGAAGGCTTACCTTCTTTTCAAATTCATCAACCATGCCAGCTTTAGCTACAGCGCCTCTGTAGAAACTCCAGTCAATGGCAGCAGGAGCCTCTGGCAGGGAGGCCAGCCTGGTATAAAGAGAAAAGAGTTTGACTGACTATGCAGCAATGCACCATAACTTAGAAAGTAGAACCAAAGTGCTCATAATTTATAGTTTTAATAGTTATTGAGTAAAGCAACTGAAAACGTAAAACTTCAAAATTAGACAGTCCACTCAAGACAGATAATGAGGAGTGAAAAACAGTTTCTTCAATTTATAGCTCTGTGTAGTTTTCTGACCTGAAAAGATACACAAATATCCTACAATAAGCCTTAAATACTGCTAAGTTAAGTTTGTTTAGGGTTCTTTTGACTTCTTTTAAACTTCTGAAAAAGATTCACCCCAAAAGTTTAAAATGACATTCGTCCAAAATAAAACATTTTTTTTTTTTTTTAAATCAGGTGAAGAGCCAAGACTTAGTAACTGACGGGTTGTGGTGTGTTTATACATGAAAACAAAAAACAAAAAAAACCATAACTGTGGTCTGTTATAAGGATCGACCGATATGGTTTTTTTTAGCGCTGATACCAATACCAATTATAAATAATCAAGGAAACCGATAACCAATATTTAGATCTGATATTCAGTTGCAGAAATAATGATTATTTTGGCCTTATTTTGAAATGTGCTTTTATTTTGAAATGAAAAAGAAACAGCGGTAGCGCATACTTGCTCCCTAAGCTTCACAAAGACCGAGGAGCACCTCTATGGGTGGTGTTGCCTGCTAGTTTGTTTCTTTTGTTTCATTTCTCCATGCTTCATGGTGATTTGTTATGACTGTGGGCATGTGGTTTTATGAGAAGTGTAAGTTGAAGAATCTTATTTTTGACTGTTAAGACTGCCTCTGGGTTACGACAACCGTTTGTTGAGAAGCAGGCTTAAGTGGTCTGGATTACTTTATCTGTATTGGCTACAGTACTAAACAAAGCTATCTATGTAATGATTACAACAGCTGATGTTGGCTTTTGTTTATTGAAGGTTTAGTTCTGTGGTGTTAATAAACATTAGTGAAAGGAACAGGAGTCTCACATCCAATCAGCAGCGGCAGACCGCTGCTTCACAGAGCACTCTCCTCTCTCCCTTGCTGTGGAGCTGCACCTAGAAGCTTGAGTATTGATTGGCTGTCTGCGTAGCCAATCAGTGGGGACAGTAGGCGGGACATTGCTGCTTAAGAGCAGAATGAGCGCGTTTTAAAATAAAACGTATTTCATTGGCTATCGGTGGAAAAGCGGCAAATGCTGATTATTGTAAAAATGCTGAATATCAGCCAATATCAGCCATGCCAATTATTGGTTAATCCTAAGTCTGTTTATAAGAAAAAACTACACTTTTGGGCCTCTACCCATTTCTATTTAAGTGCCCCTCCAGCAACAGGTGGTCAGTGAGCACTGATTTGTCCTATTCTCTCAGCACATGGAGAACAATTCTTCATGTCCTTCCCCAAGACTGATGCTTTTGATCTTTCCATAATGAAGCAGTTGCCACCAGCAGCAAGTATTTTAAAACACAGCCGTGGTTTGACTTCACTAAACTTATTACATGAGCAAAAAGATGACTTGTGCTTTTTTCTGTTGTTGTAAAACTAACTTGGCTGCAATGGCATCACTGCGAGTCTTCAGAGCGTTGAACATGCCCCTCTGGTTGGGTGGAACCCGCTCAGCGAACGCCAACCAGTCAATGGCCTTGAGGGCTACACGACGGCCTGCCATCCTGACAATCTGTAAAATAAAAGATTTCAGTTATCACTGCAAACCAGTCAGACTAACTATGGAAGATAAAATGTATTAATACTTATCAGTGCACATAATCCTGTTCTTACTATGTCAAGCTCTTCAAGTTAATGCATTTTAAAACTCGCTTCTGTTGTGCTTAGTTTGTGGAGGGGGGATGAGGGGACAGAGATGGGGTAGGGGACAGTCGGGTATTCTTTCTCTCTTTTTTCTTCTTCTGTGTAAAGTACTTTGTGCTACAGTGCTATAAAAAGGATTTATTGATTGATGCCCTCACAGGTTCTGAAACTGTTCAGTACATCTTGATGGATATACATGCATATTCAAGCACAACAGGGCAGTTTGGGGTTTGGCGTTTTGCTAAAGGATTCTTTGGCATGTAGACCGTGGGACCTGGGATAAAACCCCTCTTACAATTTAGAGGCAAAATACTCTTCCTCTCATCCACACATTACTGATGTAGTCTGTCTTCCATTACAACAGTCAATACTGAATCTTTAAATTCAATATAATAAATATATCACCCCTTGTATGTATTAGTCAACATTTAGTTTGTGCAGAGTACCTTAATGAAAAAAAAAACTGAGTTATGTAAAGGAATGACACACGCTGCTGGCCACTTGGTGCTGACTGATATTTCTTTGACAGGAAAACGCGCTAAAACATTTAACATCGAACGGAGTTGAGAGAAGCACCTGCCCAGGTTTCAACAGGCTTACTAGATTACAGACAAGCGAGTTCATTTGATAAAACAACTGCTAATTCAGTTTACTGAGGCAGGTCCAGTCTGAAATACTGACTATGGGACATGTAAAGATGATAAAGTTTGTACATGAACCGCGTTAAACCCAGTTTAGTTAAAAAATAATAAACTTAAAAAAACCAAGGACAGTAGCCGAGTGCTGGCAGCTAAAACCCAACTTCCAAAATACCCAATATATTTTTTCATTGCAAACATGTGCTTCAATTTATCAAGATACCAAAACGGTAAAACACGTTGCTAAAAATTGATCATCATGACACCAGGCCCTTGACATTTTGTTCAAGTCAGACCCTGCACAGCTAGCTAGCAGTAGCTAGCTGTGTTAGCTCGGGAGCCAAGGTCAGCAAAATCTCTCTGTTAAACCAGAATTTTTACGTAAAGCAGTGATACTCCTAGATTAACCTTTCTATTGCATGCGCAATGACACATATATAAACTGCACAATTCATAACTGAACCGTTCGTTAATTAAAAGTTGTTGCATCCACGAAGGATCTGTGCTTGGGACTCACCTCGATCTTTCAAGTGACGCCTGTGACAGAATGGGCAGCGGAAGTGGCTTTTCTTCATGTGGACAAAGAGCGCTACGGAGAGCGCCACCGCCCCCTGCTGTACAGACAGAATACTTAAAAAAGCCTCCCTGCTCGCGAAATGGCATGAGCGCAGGGAATATTTATTCACAGACAGCCCAAGACGTCGAAACACGCACCTTTATGATTCACGGAATAGTGGAACAAAATATAAACTTAAATGGGAAAAAAGTTTATATGACCCACAAAAAACGTAAGGGGACGTGGCATACAGTTTGAGGAAAAGAAGACAGAAACTAAACGAAAACGTGAAATTAACATTTGTTATTTTTGTATTTATTATTTTTAGACATAACGATGGCTACTTGCGAGTAAACTCGGTGACAAGGTCGCACTGATGAGCAGGATACATTGTACGCCATCAAATATCAGCGGGGCGGTTAACTTAGTAGAAGCTCTTAAAAATAAACGAATTCACTCGAACTCACATACTAGCGATACTCTAGAATTTATCATATCATCACAGCCTTACTGCATCAACGACTTTATTTTTGCAGTGACACATATCCATCTTTAAATATTGCGCAAGAGGTTTGAGATTATAATTATTTTTTGTCAAATAGGAGCAGACAACATGTGTGTGTGTGTGTGTGTTACACGGGGAAAATGCATTTCTGTTTGTTAACAGGATGTATTACATTCATTCACATGTGTAGAAGAAAATAATTTATGTGGAGAGCCAGATGACCAAGACAAGATGTGTTTTCTACACATATCCTGTTTACTTTTACAGAAAATGACTTTCCATTTCAAGGACTGTCTTTAATCCCCATGTCAGCTGGCAACCATAGTGTTCACGACTTTATTTGGAAGGAGGGGGCTTTTCCCCCCCTTAAAATAGTTTATAACACTTATGAATTCAAATCACTACAAATGAGAATGTTTTATGCACAACTTCAGACAAAAAGGTTGGATCCATCAAATATTACAAAAAAGTATATAAAAAACAATCAACGTGGTCTGTGATTTTCCTTAGTAACTCATTTTTGAATAATATATTGATCTATAAATTCCCCGGTAGGCGGTAGGAGACCGCGGGGAAGACTCAGGACGCAGGACACTATCCCACTGAGCCTCAAACGTCTATTAGACGTGTCGTCTAAGTTCAGACAGATATTCGCCCATCTATTATCGGTCTTTATTTCGGCCCGAATCTAGATGATAGAATTCAATCCATTAATTACTAAATATTACATAAAAAACAACTCCAAGTTGTATAAATGCTGGCCTGATGCCGAATTAAAACATTTTTAACAGTCATTGATCAATGTACTGTGTAGCTTAGACTTGGATTCGATTTAGACGTCTAAATCAAGACCTCACATCAAAGTCTCTTTTGTAGACCAAATCTAGACGATTGAATTAAATGCATTAAATAATGAATACTGACCAAAACTAATTGAAAGTTGCACAACTGGTGTCCAAATATTGGACTAAAATAATTTGAATGGCCATTGGTCAATATACAGTAAAGTTAGATTTAGCCTTGATTTAGACGTTTAATCAACACCTAGATTTAGACCAGGTTCAAAATTTATTTTTATTTTTTGGGAATAAGATTATGCCAACTATGTTTGTAAATAATTAGATATCACTTTTAAGCTATAGCTAAATAAAGGCAGTTTGCAATTAAGTTTATTGGGCAGTAATGCAAATAATTCCTTTTAAATAAAAATTGTTTGTGAAGAGCAAAATAAAATGGCAGTTCACACCAATAGAGATTGGGGACAGTAGCCCAAATCTAAATATAGATGGATGGGATATGTACTGTCATAGGCTCCCTTCCATGATTACTCCCTCACCACTAGGAGACAGCAACATGCTGAAAGTTTCAGTCAGTCTAAAAGAAACTCAATGGCGAGCAGGGCTCTGGTTCGGACCACTCAGTCTGAGAAATCTTTTTTTGTGTGTCAACTACAACTCATCAAAGACACCAAGAAGAGCTGCTTACAGGTGGGTGCTCAAGGGTACATTATTGAAATGTTTTTTCCTTCAATGTTGTTTCTTTAATCACAAGGAAGCATTTAATTTAAAGCAAGCTTGCAATTAAGTTGCCATCAAATGCTACATGGCGTTAGTTGCTTTCTTTTATTAATGATTTGGAAGAAAAATAGGTTGGGTTTCGGGGATTTGCTTCTTTTCATTTCTTTTATCTTTCTTTGTAATGTAAAGTTTGACTCCATGAGTAGCATACAGTGCCTTGTAAAAGTATTCATACCCCTTGAACTTTCTCACATTTTGTCACTCTACAACCACAAACTTACAAGTATTTTATTGAGATTTTTTGTCATAGACCAACACAAAGTAGCACATAATTGTAAAGTGGAATGAAAATGATACATGGTTTTCAAAAATTTAAACAAGTAAAGATCTGAAAAGTGCAATTACAGCTGCAAGTCCTTTGGAGTATGTCTCTAAAAGCTCTGCACATCTGGAGACTGAAAATTTTGCCCATTCTTCTTTGCAAAACAGCTTAAGCACCGTTCTAACACATGAATATTCTTTGATCTAAACCATTCCATTGTAGCTCTGGCTGTATGTTTAGGGTCATTGTCTTGCTGGAAGGTGAATCTCTTTCCCGGTCTCAAGTCTTTTGCAGCCTCCAACAGGTTTTCTTCCAGGATTGCCCTGTATTTAGCTCCATCCATCCTCCCATCAACTCTGACCAGCTTCCCTGTCCGTGCTGAAGAAAAGCATCCTCACAGCATGAGGCTACCACCACCATGTTTCACAGTGGTGATGGTGTGTTCAGGGTGATGAGCAGTGTTACTTTTCCGCCACACAAAGCGCTTTGCATTCAGGCCAAAAAGTTCAACTTTGGTCTCATCTGACCAGAGCACCTTCTTCCACATGTTTGCTGTGTCCCCTACATGGCTTGTGGCAAACTGCAAACGGGACTTTTTATGTCTTTCTGTCAACAATGGCTTTCTTCTTGCCACTCTTCCATAAAGGCTAGATTTGTGGAGTACACGACTTATACTTGTCCTGTGGACAGATTCTCCCACCTGAGCTGTGGATTTCTGCAGCTCCTCTAGAGTGACCATGGGCCTCTTGGCTGCTTACATGGCGAAACCATGTATCATTTTCATTCCACTTCACAATTATGTGCTACTTTGTGTTGGTCTATGACAAAAAATCTCAATCAAATACTTTTAAGTTTGTGGTTGTAGAATGACAAAATGTGAAAATGTTCAAGGAGTATGAATACTTTTTCAAGGCACTGTGTATTTCAAAAGCAATTGTTATTTTTGACAATCATTTATGCTGAATGCATGTACTTAAACATGTTACCCATTTTTTAAAATGTATATAATACATTTAGCTTGTACATCAGCTGTTTAAGATACTACAAATTTTTGAGAAGTATTGTACATAATTCAATAACTTCCCAATATCCAATATTTATTGTCTAACATGTTTAAATGTTATTACATTTAAATAAAACCTACTCATAGATTTTCATTTTGGATCTAGTATTAAAAAGCATGACCATTGTGTTGATTAGTTAGCTAAGTCAGTGTTTTCTCAACTTTCAAACTTCAAGGTCTCCCCTTAATTGTGACATAGACACACTTCACATTTATCGGAGGTTTCATTTACATCCCTGAATCGGGTATGTACTGCCATCCACCCACTGGCCGTATTGCCTCCTCTGTAACTGTGTGTGCAATATGTGCTGCTTGCTAGGCTATACTGTATGTCTCAACACTACTCAACACTACTCAAGTCAAATGTGTCTCCCCCAACTTTGAAATCAAAATTTCATCCATTGGTGCAGGTATGGGTGATGAGCCTTATAGACAGGAGGACAATGGATACAGAGATTATCCAGGTACAAGTGATGAAGACACACAGCTTGTTGATATTGAAGCATGAACCGAAGAGTAACAGTCAAGTCTAAGAGAAGATTAGGCATATTGGGCCACGGAAACAAAGCAGACACACAGCAGTGTAAATAAGATGATAGCCATACTCCGCAGACATGGCCACAATTTGCCCAAAGATGTCCGCACACTTCTACAGACTCCATGTTTTGTAGACAGCATTAATTATGGACTGGAGTCAGTCAGGTATTTGTAAATTCCTTAAATAATGCCCTGCTTTCATCAGAGCTGTCATGTTGGACATAAATATTGATGGTGTTCCCCTGTTCATATCAAGTACCAAACAGTTTTGGCCAATTTTGGCCAAATTTCACAACTCTGACCCTTTTTTCATTGCTCTATTTTGTGAGCATACGAAACCAGAACCAGTAGAGGAGTAGCTAAAGGATTTTGTACAGGTGTTGGTGGACCTTCAAGAAAAGGGTATTGATCCTGAAGGGATGCAGTTCCAGGTCAAGATCAACGCCTTCATCTGGGAACTTTTGTAAAGTGCATCAAAGGTCACAATGTGTATCAGGCATGTGGGCGCTGCAACGCTTCGGCCACCTATGTGGACAGCAGGATGGTCTACACTGACCACGCTACACAAGAAAGAAGAACAGATGAAAAATTTAACAAGGTTGGATACAGAGTCCACCAGAGAAAAGCTTCGCCCCTCATCACAGCTGGAGTTGGGTGTGTCAGCCAGTTTGTGTTGGATTACATGCATGTGGTTTGCCTTGGTGTCATAAAGAGGCTGCTCAAAGTTTTAAGAACATTTAATCTCATCAAAGTACTAACAACATTATGTGCATCAATTGCCATCGATCTTTTCAATCCAACAAAATTAAAGAAGTACACTGGAAATTGCTTCTCTACAGTTTCGATATACTGTACAGTGCATCCGGAAAGTATTCATACCACTTCACTTTTTCCACATTTTGTTGTTACAGCCTTATTCCAAAATGGATTAAATTCCCTTTTTTCAAAAATTCTACACAAAATACCCCATAATGACAAAGCAAAAGACTTTTTTTTAGAACATTTTGCAAATTTTTAAAAATAAGAACACTCAAATGTTGCATATACATAAGTATTCACACCCTTTACTCAATACTTGGTCGAAGCACCTTTGGCAGCGATTACAGCCTCCAGTTTTCTTGGGTATGATGCAACAAGCTTGGCACACCTGGATTTGGGGAGTTTTTTTCCATTCTTCCTTGCACATCCTCTCAAGCTCAGTGAGGTTGGATGGGCAGCGTCTGTGCACAGCTACTTTCAGGTCTTTCCAAAGATGTTCAATCAGGTTCAATTCTGGGCACCAGCTAGGCCACTCAAGGACATTCAAAGACTTGTCCTGAAGCCACTCCTTTGTCTTCTTGGCCATGTGCTTAGGGTCATTGTCATGCTGGAAGATGAAGCGTCACCCCAGTCGAAGGTCTCGAGCGCTCTGGAGCAGGTTTTCATCAAGGATTTGATGTACTTAACTGCATTCATTTTTCCCTTGATCCGGACAAGTCTCCCAGTTCCTGCTGCTGACAAACATCCCCACAGCATGATGCTGCCACCACCATGCTTCACTGTAGGGATGGTATTTGCGAGGTGGTGAGCAGTGCCTGGTTTCCTCCAGACATGACACTTGGCATTCAGGCCAAAGAGTTCGATCTTCATTTCATCAGACCAGATAATTTTGTTTCTCCTGGTCTGTGAGTCCTTCAGGTGCCTTCTAGCAAAGTCCAAGCGGGCTGTCATGTGCTTTTTACTGAGGAGTGGCTTCTGTCTGGCCACTCTACCATAAATGCCTGACTAGTGGAGTGCTGCAGAGATGGTGGTCCTTCTGTAGGGTTCTCCCATCTCCTCAGAGGAACGCTGGAGCTCTGTCAGAGTGACCATCGGGTTCTTGGTCACCTCCCTGACCAAAGCCATTCTCCCCCGCTTGCTCATTTTAGCTGGGCGGCCAGCTCTAGGAAGAGTACTGGTGGTTCCAAACGTCTTCCATTTCTTAATGATGGAGACCACTGTGCTTTTTGGGATCTTTAATGCAGCAGATATTTTTCTGTAACCTTCCCCAGATCTGTGCGCCGATACAACCCTGTTTCAGAGGTCTACAGACAATTCTTTTGACTTCATGGCTTGGTTTGTGCTCTGACGTGCTCTGTCAGCTGTGGGATCTTATATAGACAGGTGTGGCTTTCGAAATCATGTCCAATCAGCTGAATTTGCCACAGGTGGACTGCAATCAAGCTGGAGGAACATTTCAAGGCTGATCAGTGGAAACAGGATGCACCTGAGCTCAATTTTGAGTTTTATAGCAAAGGGTGTGAATACTTAAGTATATGCAACATTTGAGTGTCTTATTTTTAATAAATTGGCAAAATGATCTAAAAAAATATTTTCACTTTGTCAATATGGGGTATTTTGTGTAGAATTTTTGAGGGAAAAAAGGAATTTAATCCATTTTGGAATGAGGCAAAGGTGGCAAGGTAACATAACAAAATGTGGAAAAAGTGAAGTGGTATGAATACTTCCTGGATGCACTGTACATTACACATGACATAAAAATTACGACGACTTATTTCAAGTTTTTTTCTTTATCTATGTACATGTCATCAGTTTCTAGGTCCCAATTTTTCTTCTACCCCCAAAAAGTTTCAAAATCGGTTGAATACAGCGGCCTCAAAAGGTAAATTGAAATACACATAAAAAGAATTTCAATTCATTTGAAAAAAAAAAAAAAAAAAACATTGGCACACTCAAATCCTGCAGTTTTGTTGAAAAAGTAATTTATTCAAAAGTATTAAAAAACAGAATCAAAGTTACATTTGAACAGATTTTTTTCATGCATTCTGGGATTTTTCAAAGTTCAATTTCGAAATTCAAGACTTTCAGGTACCATTTTATTTTTTCAGGTTCAAATCTTATTTTTCCACTTCACTTTTTATTTTTTCACTTACACTACTTTTCAATACTTTTGAGCCTAATCTGGCTCCATATGTTTGAGCCGAGCGTCATCACAGCAACTCTTGGCGGCTCTCCTGCTGAATGCGTACAATGCTACTGCGCAATGCTGGTTTCAGGAAGTGAAGAAAAATCATGGAAATGCTGAGAGCTTTACCGAGGCTGAATACCGATGTATACTGGTGGAAGGTGGAACCAAGTTGTTCATAGTATGTACAGTCTATGCATGCCACTTGTGAGATGGTGTTAGTGGACGGGGGTGTCTGTTTCTTGACTGCATAAAGGATGTGTAAAATACTGAATTCCTCAGTCAGAGGAAGCTGCCTTTGTTGTTATCCCTCTCGGGGTCACGGGTGGGCTGGAGCCTATCCCAGCTCAGAGCAGTGGATTAAAACAGAGTGGCGACACTCCCGTAGACATACGCTGTACAGCCCGGCGGACCCCACTTCCGGGTTATGGAACTCTTAATAGTTCCAACATGACCGCCTGTCACGTCGGACGCCGTTCGCTTCTATGGCCACAAGGCAAGCACTCACCGAGGTTAAATGATAAAATAAAAGTTTAATGCCAATACATGTGTTATTGATATCGAGGGGACCCCTTTATATGTAAAAATGTATATCCCAAATGTAATTACGTTTTTTTAGTCAGGAATTGGGATCGATTTTTTAGCCACGGTTTGCTCCCACACTCCCCGAGGTAAAATATTGTATCAACGAATGTAATGCCAATACCTGTGTAAATGGTATTGAGGGACCCCTTTATATGTAAAATGATTTTAATTCTAGTATGCTCAAATTGTAATTACAAATGTAATTACGTTTTTTTAGTAAAGAATTTGGATCGATTTTTTAGCCACGGCCTGCTAGCTGGACGTCGTCAGCTGTAGAGGCCTGCCAAAATTTATTGTGTGACTGAGTTATGAATCACAGATAAATCATCATCATCAATCATATGTTGAGATGGTTACTTGTGGGCTTTATTTTAGATTTCAGCCTTTATCAGTTCCCGATGTTATATGCAATTTATCCTTTTTAGACTAACATAAGTGCTATGTAATTTGATTGCTGCTTATGGGATGATAGAGTTAAGGGGCCGCTACTTTTTAAATCCTGTCAGCATTTAAGGCATATGTTTAACATGGAAAAATGTTATGCAGGCCATGCTGCAAGACCAAAACATTGCACAATTGTTTAAACAGTGTGTAACACCTGTTACTTACCACTTTATTGTATTATTTTCGCTTATTAAAAAGTAACACGTGTTACCAAACTTGTCTTATTTCACTTTTATTTGTCATCCAGCCGCTAAATATACGTAAGTGACTTTGACGTGTACACAGTAATCCAATAAGAGTTGCAAATGTTGACTTTTTACGGTTAATTTTAATATTTACCTCTTAAATGCGCGCTCATTGCAGTCTGCCCCGTTGAAGAGCATGGACAGTGCAGGCTGCGTTTGGAACTATGGAGGGGTACATGAACCACGTGACCGCTCCGGCGGCGAGATCTGAAGTTGTCGCCACTCTGTTTAATCCACTGCTCTGTCCCAGCTGTCATCGGGCGAGAGGCAGGGTACACCCTGAATCGGTCGCCAGTCAATTGCAGGGCCACATAGAGAAACAAACAACCAGTCATACTCACACTCATACCTAAGGATAATTTAGAGTCACCAATTAACCTAATGAGCATGTTTTTGGTCTGTGGGAGGAAGCCAGAGTGCCCTGAGAGGACCCACGCATGCACAGGAAGAACATGAAAACTTCACCTGACTCGGGTATTGAACTGGTGGTCCTCTTGGTGTGAACACATGCACTACCTGCTGCGCCAATGTGCCCTCAAGTAAAATATTTTGAAGACAAAGACCACAATCTCTGCCGTTCTTCTCGGCTAGCTGAGAGTCAGATGCAGTATCATTTTTCTGACAATTTCTTTTCCCACTTCCTCATCAGCATGGCAACAGCCAGCTGATGATGTCATGTCTGCTAAGTTTCCTTTTACTTCTGTTAATGCTTAAGTTTACTTTATTTTTGTACATTTATTTTTTGTTTATGTCATGCATTTCCTGTTTTATTTTGTAGTTCACTAACCCTTGTTTCTGTCTTCTAGCTTTGTTCCTGTCTGGTCTGCCCTACTGTTTCCCATCCCACCTGTTTCCCATCACCCTCATTACCTCCTGTAATTAACCTTGTGTGTCTTATTGTCTTGTCGCCAGTTCGTCGTACCTTGTGTCTCATTCCAGCTTTATTCACAGGTATATTCAAGCCATTGTTTACCTTTGCCTGTCTTTTTGGACCTTGCCTTTTTGCCTCACGTTTTGGATACTTCTGCCTGATCTGACTGCCTTTTTGTGTACCGACCTCTGCTTGTGCTTCATAAAACACTCTCTGTTGGACAAAGTGATTCGTTGTCTCGCCGTTGTGTCCTCCTTTCTGTGCCTCGTTTCATGACAAATGATGACGATAACATAACACAGCTGTCTTGAGTTTGTAATCTTGTCCATTTTGTCTCTTTTTTGTTCAACTAATTTTATTTAATCTATAATATTGATTTTCTCCCCAGCTGTATCACCAGCTACCTTGAAAACTGTTTTAACAGCGCCAAAGTACACATCTACACCAAGTATAAATACTATGTTCATTGATTTCAAACCAATTCCCTTAAGCCTGATTCGTGATTAGTTAATATGCATGTCAATCACTGACTGTCTAAGTATTATTGTCTACAAACAAAGTGAGATATTTTTTGTTTTCTAACGTAGGTCACCACAGCACACCGGGTGAAGCAGGAGAGGACAAAGTACACAAGTTATTTGTTAACCCACCTATACAGCATATATTGAACGTGACTAATGTTGCAAGTATAAGATTTCCATGTGTTTTCTCTCCCTGCTTTGTTTACCTTTGCCTGTCAGTGTGACAGGCAGGACACAAGGTATTTGTTGATAAGTATGGCAATGTTCACAATGGTGACACTGTAAGTACATTATTACAATATCCCCCAACCCCGACAGTGAGAACTAGCGGCAAAAAAACCTCATGTCCACACCACAACCAGGACACCTAAAGGTACACAGTAATTCAGTGTAGTGTTGGTCTGCTGTGGAATAGGTTGTAAGTTACAAACGTGATTTATGCAATTTATTTCTCTCCCCCCTACACACAGATTCACTACACACAGTCCCATCCATAGTCCTGTCAGGACCCCTTAGGGTAACAGTTTGATTAGAGTAGTGATCACAATAGTGAGTGTGTAAGAAAGAAAAAAAAAAGAGGCATTTAATTGCCTTTTCCACCCCACAGCCAGTACTCCACTAGGTAATATTTGTACAGCGATGATCACAAGGGTGTGTACTATTTCATTAACTACAAATATGTGCACTCCAGTACAGAGAATATTTTTTAAAAATTTTATATCAGAGATATGAATCCAAAAGCTGTGATATAAATAATGGCATTGTTTTTGCAGATGTCAGCAGCTGGCTTTCCAAAATAGCCAAGGCTATTATCAAAAAACTGAGATCAAACAGTTAGTGTAAATGACAAAGTTGAGAGATTTTCAGATGGCATGGCAAAGATGTTATTTAGATGGGAAATTCCTTTTTTTTACCCAGTAGTGAACTGTGACTCCAGTGTGAGCTCAAGAAGCAGGACACCTACAAGTAGATTTTTATTTGCAATGATGTAATTAGAATTTGCAATTTTCTTTCTTTTACACTCAACAGGGCATTGAACTCGAAGGGGAAGCACTTCACAAGTTAAATATGTATTGTGTAATGAGTATAACAGTGATAACAGGTGACTTGCTAAGTAAGATGTGTATGTTCTTTTTTTCCCTCCCCAACAGAGACTCCTAGCCCTCAGAGTAAAAGAAAGACCATCCGTCTCAAAAACTGTCTGGACTCCACAAGTTACAGATCGACTCTAGAATTAACCTTGATTATAGAAGTAATCACGACTACCTTGTGTTATCTTTGCATATTGATATTTTATTAATTGTTTGAATATACTTATGTTTGCTTAACTCAAGCTCCTGTCAATTAAGAGCATATGTGAAATGCCTATATTGTATTTGCGATTTTCAATAGTGATGTTGCATTTATGACATATAATTGCCTTGTCTTTTACTCTCAGGAAACCGGGGCAGAAGTCAAAGGCCAAAAAAGAAAAAAAAAAAAAAAACATGCACTCCTAGTACATTTTCATTTTTCAGGATGACATGCAGAACAACTATTTTATTTATAAACAGAACTATTTTAAAATATAAAAAATGAAATGTTATTTATGGATATGTAAAACAACCAAATTTAAGTAAAACATATCCCAAAGCACAGGCAGAATGCCACATACTTTTTTTTTTTTTTTTTTTTTTTGCATTTTGGTTCAGGTTGATGCATCCTAGGCAGGTAGGGTTTCTGGATCTTTTTTTTTTTTTTTTTTTTTTTTTTTTCAAAAAATGTGTAATGTTTTAAATACAAATAACTAGATTTTTAATTATTTTTGTAATTTTATATGTTAGACTTTGTGCTGGTTTTTAACCTTAAGTTTAATAGAATAACCCAAAGTTTATTTTATTTTGGTAATATTTTATATTTGAATTTGTGCTTTTATTTTATTGCAATGTATGTTTAAAAATGTGTTTAGAAATTAAAAATGTGTTGTTTGCACATTCATATGTGATGGTTGGATAATGTTTGAATACTGTATTGATTTAGATTACACTAGCATAGTTTGGTTAATGTTAACATCAAGAGATATACTTATATCCAGTGGTAAAATTAGCATGACATTAGTGTTACTGAAACCTATTTAAAAGAATAAAAATAAAAATAAAAAGATTATGATGATTATTACTTCAATAATCGCTTGTTTGTGGGGGAGCCCTGACAAGTCCATCAAGTCCATCACCGAGTGCAGGGTCATTTCCTTTAAGTAATTATCATCATAATAATTATTTTGCACTGCAGACACTGTAGTTCTTCTGCCTTAGCGTCTCGGTCTGATTGCATTTCCATTAAGTAATATTTATAAATGTTCTTCCTTGAGCAACAAAACTCAGCTGCACTTCAAGGAAATGACCCGCTGCACTCAGTGATCGACTTGTCAGGGCTCCCCCCCCCCCCCCCCACAAACAAGCGGCTGCTGGAAGAAAGTGGGTGAGTTTCGTTTGGTCTCTTTGCTAAAGAAACAGGCAAAGCTAAAAAGATGTTTGGTGGCTAGTACTATGTTTGGGTCCCTGTATGTACTGTTTATTAAGTTAGGTGCTGTTCTGAGCATTATTTGTGGCTATAGAGCAGCTTTTTGGTTGAGGTGTGCGCATGGAGTGATAGACCACTGTGTATTGCTTTAGTGCAGTCTTTACTAAAGTTGGTATAACTAGAGAAGCAAGCGGTCGGCAACATTCATCTCTGGAGGAGGTGTCTAACTCGGTGTTACGGTGTGTTTGACCTTAACATAATTTTATGACGGAATATTTCTTTAACATTCAATTTTGACAACTTATATTCCTTTTAATATAGGCTTGTTGTAAATAATTTTGATAGATTCCAAAGGCCGGATATATTAGAATATCCTTATAATAATACGTTTAATAGACGTCTACATTCTGTAATGGGGTTTAAATTTGGTATAAAAGTATAAGTCTGAATTTCGACGTCTATAAATAGAGGTTCATTAGACTAGGCGTATACATTTGTTTTAAAAATAAAGGTCTGGCAAACGTCTAACATTAGACGTCTATAAATAGACAGCGGTTATTTAAATGTCTAAGATTAGACGAGAGTATAGACTTGGCCGTCCTTTAGATGTCTATTAGGCGGCTAGTCTAAGACGGCTAAAAAAACTTCAATTTTTAGACCAGTGGTAGACCGATTTTAGCTCAGACGTCTAAGGACCGTCAGACGTCTTAAATGTCTTTTAGACCGAAAAATGCTCAGTGGGATGTCTCTCAGCGGGCCTGGGAACGTCTCGCCCCCCCCCCCCCCCGGGAAGAGCTGGACGGTGTGGCTGGGGAGGGGGAAATCGGGTTGCGAAATCTGGGCTTCTCTGCTCAGGCCGCTGCCCTCCGCGACCCAACCCCGGATAAGCGGTTGAAGATATTATAAATTCTCCATGCAGCATCAAATAACAGATATAGCCTATAATTTAGGGAACAATAACAAGCACCCGAGGTTCTCTAAAGTATACGATGTTTATTTACTAAAATCAGTATTTTACAAGTGACTGAACATTTACAGAGGTGTATGTACACAGTACAGATACAAAGATATTTAATAAATACCATTCCTCCTGCTGCAGGCCTTTATGAACAACACTCAACAGTTTATTTTTTACATACATAGAAAATCCTCTGAAAAACTAAAGTCGCTCTCTCAAAGGCCACGCTGTGACAGTAAGAAGTCATCTAATACATGTTTTTATCCTGAAATATAAATTTGCACCATGTTTAAAAAGTAGAGAAAATACTGCAGGGGCTGCTGCAAGAATAAATATTCAAACAGTAGCCGAGGAAAAACTGCAGTTTCACAGAAAACACTCAATGCTAAAGGAGCAGAAATACTTCAAGTGATTCCATTAAAGTAAGGCACTATCACCGTTTAAGTACTTTTATGTTGATTTCAAATTGTATCACACTGTCTCAGCAAATCATTTCCTTCATGTCTTGACACACTTCTATGTCCGTTTTTAAGAACTTCTGCGCAGTGCAGGCTGCTCAGAGATATTTAAGGCATGTCGTTTAAAACCTGACTTTTACTTTTGGAGTATTGCCTGACGCCTGTAAATCCACAGAGCTGGACACTGATTTAAATTAGTGAGAGCAAGTGAACCCGCACAGGCCAATATGCACACAGTTATCTATCAAAAATGCATCCAGATTTTAACTGATCTCTAGAGAAAGTGTTAGAGAAACATCTGCGCTTGAAAAGAAATAATAAAAAGTTTACTGAGATGGAAACAACTCGCCATCCTTGGTTCTAAGCGTATTGCAACAGTGACAGATGACATTTGCCCTCTTTAGCCCCACACATCAACACTAAGACAGATAGTACATCCCATAAGTGACGGGTCCACTGAACAGTCCTGGCACCGGCAGGCTGGGCCTTGGGAAGCCGTTTGACGGGCCCCATGTTGTCGGAGATCCCATGTGCGCTCCGAGGGGGAACGGAAGCGCGAAAGCGGGCAGAACGGGTTTAGAGGCCAGTTTAAACTTTTCCAGCTCAGCCTCCTGCAGTCTCTTTGCTTTGGCCCTTCTGTTCTGAAACCATATTTTGACCTGAGTCTCCGTCAGGTTGAGAGAGTTGGAGAACTCGGCTCTCTCGGCGATGGAGAGGTACTGCTTCTGGCGAAACTTACGTTCCAGCGCGAGCAGCTGAGAGGTAGTGAAGGGTGTGCGAGGTTTCCTGTTGTTTTTGTGTTTCCGTAAAGCACACTGAGTTGGACTGGAGCTCCCTGATTGAAAAAAAAATGCAGAGAAGAACGTTTCAGTCAAATTTAAATTCAAGCTTTTTTTATTTTTCTGGAAATCATTTTGAAGGTGGAGACAAGAGCCTTCAGTGTACCATGTAAACAAAATCACGAACAATCAAGTCAATTGAAATTTATATACAGCCTATTTGTTGAAAAACAAAATAGTTCTGCTTCAAAAAATGAAATATTCAGTCATAAAAATATCCCATTAACCAAAGATTTATTGACAATGTTACTCGTTGTTGAATCACTCTGGCCTCGTCTGTATAAACAAACTATATAGCTAAAAATACCTACAATAATACGTAGAAACATGAAAACGAAAAAAAAAAAAATACCGGTAACCTCAAGAGCAAAATATCAGTGCAATGTGCTCAGTGACTGAGTAGCTCATCTTTAAAAAACTGCGCACGCTCCGTAGCGCTATCTGCGCAAGATTGGGTTCGCAAAACTGAAATAATTGTATGTTTGTGTCACCGTTGTAACATTTGGTACAATTTCGGACTCGTTTATCTGCCGTAGATGATTAATATCAGTGCAATTCATGTTGAAGAACTCTGAGCAGCGGAGGGACGGACTTACGTGGTGGAGTGGAGAAGGAGGACGTCTGGAACCAAGTGCCTTGATCCTTCTCACAAAACTGCGGACTGTCCTCGCTGGAGCTGGAAACACCCTGCGAGCTCTCCGCCGACACCTTCCTCTCCGTGTAGAGAGTCCTTGGGGAGAACTGTGCGCCCTGGCCGGTCGCGGGCTTCGGCAGGACCAGAGATATATCTGAAGGGGGATACGGAGTCCGACAGGTGGTCTTGGAAATCAACGACTCCACACTGAACGGCAGGCTACTCCGTTGCACTTTGTATCCTTTCTCGGTGGTCATGTCTTTGGGCTGGAGCTCCTCGCCCTCCGTGTCCGTCTCTTCTTTCTGATGAAGCTGTTTGGTGTTTTGCGACGGCGACCCCTGCACAGGATTCATCATGACGCAGGGCGATGGGGCCATCCACCTCCGTGTGGCCCGTTCAGAAGAGAGGAGCTGTAGCAAATGTGTCCACAATGCGTCTCTGTGCTGTCAGCTATGCCCAGTAGCTTTTACGCGCTGTATCGTCTATAAAAGGACAGGGGCTGCCCCCCCCCGCCACCACCCCCACCCTCCCACCAATCCGCGCGTCAAGTTAGCCTTACGACGTCTCTAAGTGCGGTTCTGATTGGCCTGCTGCCTCCAAAGGGAACATCAAGTGGCCTTTGAAAGGAAGGAGAAGTTAATCATAAAGACCCAATGCGGCGCAGGGCAATTGATACTCTTCACAAAGTAGCTTAGACCAATTTCAGCGCAATTAACCAGTGGGGAGGACTTTTCTGACCATTCACATCCATTCACCTTCACTGCATCAGTACGTACCACTCACAGAATTACACTCCTAACTGTAAAGGCAAACGAGAAATGCCAACATTGAAGTAATACTTTTATCAACGAGCTATAAAAACACCTTTTTATGAATGCGCTAAAATATGACATCTTTACCTAGGTTTGCTGTGCAGGCGCACGAAATGCAAAATAAAGCAATTAAAGGCGAGTCTGAAAACCGAAGCGAGTAAAACAATTAAAGTCGGACTTTGAAATAAGAAAAGGTGCAGCCATGATCGAAATTGATTAGGCATGACTGTTGGTCACACAGCATTACTGCAATTTAAGGGCTGTCAGGATCTCCTCTCGCTTCACAATGGTCTCAGTTGAGAAGCAACAGGCGTTTTCTTTCAGGAGGTCAGACTATTTAATAAACCAGACAAGTTGTGATTTCGAGGCGCCAGGCTCGGCGGGATCAAACAGGAAGATACCTCGGGGAGAAAAGGCAAACGGTTAACTCCACTTACCAATTGTCCTCCACGTATTTCATAGTCCACTGCATGGGGCTGCAGGAGCAACCAGAGCTGACAGTTAACTGTTTCTTCTCTAGTCTGAAAATAAGCGAGTCCTAGGTAATTTATGTCATCTTTTATTGGCATGTTAAATCAGCAAAGCAAAATCATCCTTGTTAAACTCAGCATAAGACAAACAGCTGGGGAAACACAGGTAAAATCTCTGGAAGTCACGAACACGACTTAACTGTGGGTGTGAATATCTCACTAATAAGACTCATGGGAACATTTATCTTTAGGTTTTCTGAGTTTGCAGAACATGATTAGCTGAAATGGCTTCAGGGCAATTTTCTTCTAACAGGAAAATTAATTTGAAAAAGCACTTAGGTTTTTGAGAACAAATGTGACTATGATGAACAAATAAAACAAATGTGCCGCAAGGTAAATCCTCAAAGGTCAGTGTGCCAAAATGTGCTTAAATTTATAAGCTCAGAGAATTAAACTAGTCTCCATAATTCAGTAACACAAACACGCTCGAATAATTTTATAACCATTTTTTTTTTAGATGGAATCTTTTTCAAGTGATAATTGAAACAATTTTTTTCAAATATAGTTTTAATCTGCTGAAAAAAATACTTAAAGTAGACCAAAAAATACAAGACTGGACAGACAAATTAAATCTTTTAGGAATGATTATGTAAACGTGGGCGTTTGAAGTTGGTGTTTTGATCACATGATAATGGGTTTCTTTGTAGAAGCCTATTGTTTCTTTGCATTTAACTGTATTCAAAATGTTCCCCTTTCATGTCACTTCTTCAAAGTAAATATTGTAGTAAATGTGTCACCTGCAGGCTGCAGCCTCCTGGACATTATCAGTCCAACCTCTACAATCTCAAACACTGTCAACTACTCAATCAAAAAATAGCTTAGTGAGACGGTAGTGGCTAATCTGGCAACTTTACCTTTACACCCTCCAAATTATTTCAGTAGGAGCCATTGTGCTTAATTGCTCAATGGGTTATAAAGAATGCGTACATCATTCAACTAAAATCTTGAAAATTAGCAGTCAAAAACCACCTTTAAAAAAGCTGTTTGGTTTGATTATAAAAATTCTATGGTCTGCTGTTCAAAAGCCCTCAGGTGCAAAGATGGATTTAAATCCCAGTGGGTATGGGGTTACAACTGTGGGCGATGACATAATTTGATTAAATCCTGATGTTGAGCCAGTTTCCTCAATTTCTAACCAACAAAGCTGCCTTGCCCTATCTTCTCACTCACTGAGGGCCTCCCGTCACTCAGCTGGTTTGGGTTTGAACCCAACAGCCATGTGTACCCTTTCCCTCATCTCATCTCCATACTGTCGTGCAAAAAGGGGATACAATTCGGACTCATATAGGGATTCATCTGATACAGGTATACAGAGATAAATCTACACAAAATGTACAGTTGGCCCTCCTCCTCTGGTGTTTGGTTTAGTGTATTTAACTCCAGGCCCCTTCTCCTCTACCCCAGAAGACATTTCTGTAACAGCATGCAGGCGAGTGAACTGTGTCAGAAGGTGTTAGTGAGTTTGAAAGCAGATCTGTCCTTCAAGGCCAGGGTGAGCTTGTCCCCCTCAGAAATGAAAACTTTTTTCACATGCATATATGGAGGCCACTTTCAGTACTCTCATGCTTCATTGAACCCACTTAACCAGGCCATAAAGTGTGAGAGAGCTAAAGTGGGAAAACAGTTTTATGTGCTTGTAACAGGACTGTCAAAGAAAATGATGGAAGCTGATGAACTCAGACCTTGTGGAAGTCCAGGTGAGCTGGTAGTGGTGTGCATTCCCTGCTAAAGCAAAGCCTTTCTGACAAACAAACACATCATTTAGAGGAGCAAGCGAGCCTAATCCCTGTGAGACATGACGACAGCAACACAAAGAGCAGCAGGTACTGGCCTCAGAGTGACAGACACTTTGCTGACTTGACAGTACAGAGGAAATGAGGACGAGTAAGGGTGTCACTGAACGCCACTCTCAGGCCACTCTCACTTTTCTACCTAAAACCAGCAGAATAACTAAAGGGATTTGTATGTTAAAGGGAGCATTTCTTTGGAATGGTTGGCAGTCTTTGTGGCCTGATAACAAGAGCTAGTTATCTGTCTTTTTATATTTGACATTGTCATTGCCTCTCTGACTGACTGGCATTGAGCATTCCTCTTTAATAGCAGTTTCAAAAGCTGCTCTAACGGTTGCTAACCACTATGGAAAAATGCCTTGACCTTTCATTTGATTTAACAAGTTGATCTGATCCACATCAGACAGGCTTCAATCCTGCACTTAAACACTGGTTTGACATTTTTCTGCCAAAGCCACTTCCTCTTGTGGCATCAGAGCACCCAGCATTTGAATGCTGGATAATAAGGGAAACATTTCTGCCCTGCTGAGGGAGCAAATTGCCTCCATCATGGCGTCTTTTTTGGACTGTAAAAAACAACAGAGGATGGTGTGTTTGTTATAGCTGCTAAGGAGTCAAACCGTTAATTTTATGTGACTGAAATTAATGCCGGTGTTTGCATTTTAAAATAACATCTTGCTTACAGCGTCCCACTTGAGCATCCTCAACAGCAGATGTTTTCATGGAGAGGGATCCTCCTGAACTTGGCTGCCAGCAGAGATTGTTAAAGGAGAAAAACCACAAGAGGTGACAATGCAATTGGCAATTTCTGTCTGGCTTTGCTGTCGGCCATAGAAATTCGCATTCTTGAGGAAAGTCTTGACACAATGTGAGTGGGCGAGTTAGGTTTGAGGACTAAGGACAAGGAACCTTGTGTGGCCACTCTGTGGTCTCATTCGTGAATCCAAGAATGTCACCACAATCTCATACGCTCTAGACAGCCAAAGCTGCAATGCAGTAGATTTGAGAATAAAAACCAAAGGCAGCAGCATCAATTTTCACTTTTTTAGCTGCAAATCCAAGCGAGGCCAAAACCAGCAACTGGTGTATAAATCAGAGCCCTTTGCATTTTTGATTTGAAATCCTCTCTTTTGCACATAACAAAAATGCATAAGCTTGTAATTTAAACCGAATAAGAAAGAAATATGAGTTTTTGGCAGCTATTAAATTTTTGGTTTTATTTCTTTATTCAAGTTCATAAATCTGAAATGGTGTATCACCTCTGAGGGTTAAAATCAGATTTTTCAGTTCTTAAGCCATCAAATTCCAGCAAACTATACGTGGATTGCAGTTATAGTTTGTTGTTATATAAATTCATTACACTGGGCAGAAAACCAATACATGAGTCATTTAACTTTTAGTGGAAGAAAATAAAAGTAGCATGTGAAGTAAAAAAGAAAACAAAAATCTTTTTTTTTTAAAACAAGTCAAACCCAAAGTGGTTATATGCAGGTTTTTGTGAAAATGTTGCTCAATCCTCTCCAAAAATATTGAAATTACAGATCCTCTTGAATGGCAGTTTCTGGTAAGTTTGTAACTCACTCAAACTTGTTGATTGTTTCAGGATTATAAGTACATATTTTGTTTGTTTTTTTTTAGGTTCACTTCTTCTCTGTTTTATCAATGACAACAATGACACGTCACATTTATCAAGCACCTCAATAATAGTAAGAGCTTTTAAAAAGCAGTGAAGATCCAAATTGTTTGATGCCTGTCTAAAAGTAATAATGTTATTGCAAGCACCAGAGGTCAGAACAAATATGTGTGTTTGAATATCCTGAGATTACAATTTCAAAGTCCTACCCACGAGAGGAGGAACAATAGAGAGGGTGGGAAGTTAAAAAAGCGGGGTCTCTTTCAAATAAACAAGCATGGCTTGATCCTGAATGGGACTGCCACCGAGCAGCCGGATTGGTTCTCAGAAGATTGAGACTGGCTGTGCAGACCCTCCTCCTCCTCCTTCCCCTCATCCCTGACTCTTGAACCAACAGATGAAGTAAACATAAACAACCTGAAAGCCACACAACTATAATTCAGCATGCCACTCTATTTCTTTATCCCACTTCTATCTCCTCTATTCTCTCCTGAGCGTGGACGGGAAAGTAGAGGGGAGTAAGGCTTCTCCCTTTTTTGTGCTATTGCTTAATGAGCCTGAAAATACAATTGCACTGTTCTCACTGTGAAGGTAGCCTGCAGGCTAGTCTAAATTAGCAGCACGAGGAAGCCCTGAGGGCTGAGTCTTGCTGAGCCGCCAGAATAGAGGGATGTGATGGGAGAGGAAAATCCT